ACAATGATATAATCTACAACTAAATAGAGGATGTTTACAAGGTCCAAGCTACACTGAAACTGTGTAGAAACTAATGAGGAAGGAAGATTTTTATAATACTCTTGTGAAATCTTTAATGAGCTCTGAAATAGTGCTGGCAGGCCTCAAAGGAGAAAGGCCCAGTTTAAAATTGAACTTTGCAGTTTGCTAAATGGCAGTGTACTGGAGCCCCAAGCACTATTTATTTTCAGAGACTATTTTTATCAGAAAGTCCCCAGCTCCTGTAATGCTCTTCTGCTCTAAGTCTTTACCCCTCTGTTGCAGCTGCCGTGCAATCAGTGGCACTGACTGAGCAGTGTGCTCCTAGGGCCCAAAGAAACACATTAATATATTTTGCTTAACTTAATGGAACTGGATTTTGCCTCAAACACAGTTAGCTCCATTCCTCACCTCCAGAGGTTATCCACATTGAAACCAGAATGTGCAAGGAAGGGCAGTGGCTTTTTGGAGTAGAGGGATGGTGAGGGTGAAAAATCCCCTGGCTGTATCAGTAATATAGTTAGCTCTTTATTACATTCACATTCTCCCTTCTCATCTCCCATGAAACTGCCTACAGCTGCGTTCTCTCAATCTTCAGTCTGAAAAAGATTAAAAAGCAGTCTGCAAGATGACTACAGCTTTTACAAAGCCACTCCCACATATAAGCAAGGAAGGAAATTAAAAAAGTTAAAAAAACAACAGAACCATCATGGTGCCACTGCAGAAGGCAGAGCCAGATATTTTAAATGGCTCAGTGATTCTACTCCTTGGAATAAAAGAAGGTGAGATGTATTGGCCAAGAGAGAGTCTACTTTGGTAAAGTCCTACTGACTCTTTCCATGATGATAAAGTAAACCATAGCTGAAAACATAAACTGAACTACTTTAATACTACCACCTGCAGTGGGGCTTTTTAAGTCTTCGAGTGAAAGTATTCATTAGTGAGAAGACTGTAGGAGCCTGAAGAGGGTCTGAAAAGTATTGATGAACTTGACATCATAAAATCAGTTCTTCTGGCAACTCAGAACAAGAAAAATTTTAGCCAGCAAATCCCATACCGACTGCCAGTTCCTATTTCAAGAGTTGGATCAATCTCATGTTAAAGGTAGTGAAATTAAAGAGTTTCTTCAGCTGATGACCACTTCCGTTCAATTCAAAAGCATATTTAAATAAAAAAAAAAATCCATTGTTTTTTTTAGAGTCTATTACTGTTGGCATGAATAACAAGAATCAGTACCTTGAAATTTAGTGGTACACAAAAGATATGCCTTTTCTCACCTAGTTTAGCTGCTGCTATGTCAGTCCACAGAGACCCCACCATATCATTTCTTACACAACTTCTGTGCTCTGTGAGTTATTGCAGTAAAACAAGAACATCCACATTACAGAGGACGTTGTTGGCTCCTTTAATTTAATTTTTCCACAGTGTTTCTGCTGAAGAAACTGATGTAAGACAACTGACTCAAATTTTCCCCACCTCTCATCAAACGCACATTGAACACTTGACAATGCCCACTTTTTTATTTTCCTCTGCATGGCTCCATCAGAGAGGACCCTCTGTGCATTCAGAGCAGCACAATGAAGAATGATTTCCAAAGAATTAACTTGGAGCCATTGAGACTTGGATGTTTTCAAAATGATTCTTTTGTGCTCAAAGGATTCTAGACTACCCCAGCTACTCTAGAAGAGAGTCTTTTTCCCCTTTCTCAAAACATCCATTCCTTGAGCCATCCCTGGAGTGCATTGTTGGGGCTGATTCCTTAGTGCAGCGAGTTCCATCAGTCAAAGCTCAACAGATACAAATAATATCAGGATATGGATATAAATTAGTGCGACAGACCCTAAATAGTTTTGACAGGTTTAGTAAGTATATATAGCGACACAGAATGCTATTCCTGCTGTCAGACATCAATATGTAGACAGAAGATTGGGGGCACCATGGAAACTCAGCGACATAAGAGTGGTATTGATTGGACAGAAAACGAGACTGCAATTTAAGCTTAAGGCTGCCAGAGATGCCAAGAATGGAGAATGACCTCCAGCAGTGAATTTTCAGCATAAGCTCCCTGTGAACAAGCCAGTCCAAGAAGGATAAATCAGGGACAAGCTCACCAGGGATATGGCTCAACTGAGTTTCGGCTACCCTAAGCAGATGAGAATCACTCTATGTGTGCACGCGTTACAGTGACCTAGTTCGTTCAAAGACAGCGATTTGAATGGTTTATTATAGAGGCCTGAAACAAAGAGATTTCCTCAATTAAAGTCCTGAAATGCATCCTCTAAATGAAAATGCTTTTGATACACTGATCAGCAAGAGGTTGTAAATATCGAAGCAAAGCGGACATTGTTAAAGACCAATTCCCACAGAAAACGCCACGGTTGGGAATGTAGGTAATGAGGGGGCCTGAACAGAGCAAGAGCAATGAGCCATGCCAACTCCATCCCTAATGCTCTAGTGTTACACTAAAACACTTGTTACACTATAACACTAGATAAATTGTATCTTTCCTGGCCAAAACAAAAAAAAGGAGACCAACAACAACAAAATAAAAAATCTGAACAGCACCCCCCCCCAAAAAACCAACCAAACAAAAACAAAACAAAACAAAAAATGAGTGCATTTTCAGAGCTTCTGTAAAGCATTATTTTAAACTATTATCTGAGCACTCAGTAACAACTATTGCCAGAACAATCAAGAAGAAATAGAGGACGTGTCAGGGAAGTACCTCGCTGGAGCCATGACTGCTAGAAGTCCACTAAGTAATAATATTCACATTTGTGGCAGAAAGATTAATCTACGCAAAACATCCATCAGTACAGCTGTGTCAGGAATAAGATAAGCCTCCAAAGTGTCCCCAGTGTCATTATGGGCGTAGAACACAGGCAGGCATATGGTACTGGGATAGTAGTGCTATGTTTTGTAATACTATAGCAAGACAAACCTTCTGCTGGCAAGGGTGTATCAGCCACAAACTGCATCTCAAATATCTGGGGATAGACATCCGGATAACTGCAAAAAGTCTGTTTTTCTTAGGCCTTTTCTACGCTATAAAAAAAGGTTTATCAATTGTAAAAAAAAAAAAAAAAAAAAAAAAGGTTTTGTTGCTGGCTTCTCCTTTTCCCACCCAAGAGCTGGCTTAGGAGCATGCTAAAGTCAGTAAGTTTTGGTCCTTCAATGTCACACAAAGCTTCATGTGTAATAAGTCACCGAAGAGTTTAACTTAGCCTGAAGACAGGAGTATATTAAACATCTGCTTTCCTTCGCTAAATTATGCAGCAGGTTTTTGTTACTGCTTTTTTGGGTTGGTTTGGGGGTTTGGATTTTTTTTTTTTTTTAGTCCAATGAAGTACCCTGTCCGTGCACTTCCAAATTTTAATTTCTCCAGCAAATTAATAAATTCTGCCACAAATACATAGGTTCCTTTTTGTCTTCAAACCATTTCTCATGATCAAAAGTTCAGACTTTTTTTTTTATTTTTATTCCTTTGGAAGGAGGAAACTGAAATAAACAAAACAAAACAAACACACAGAAACATTAAATTTGCTTTGTAATCAGCTCAAGACCACTGTTCAGACCAGGTAAAATTATTTCTTTGTAACAACTTTCCTTTCCTACTCTCTTTCTCTCCCCACCCCTTCCCTCCTTCTCCCTAATACCATTAGTTACACACTCAGTCTACTGTTTCTTGCTAAAAAAAGTTGAGCTTTGCTAAAAGCTCAAAAAAAAAAAAAAAAAATCAATGCCCAAAGGCAAAACAAGGAAAGGGCAGAGAATTCAAGACTTGATGGCCACAGGTAAAGTGTTCCTCTACTGTAATACAAGTAATTTAAATCAAACAGGATCTAATTAAAACACTATCCATAGATGCAGGGTTATCTCACAGAGAAAGATTTAACATGTCATTCCCAAGAACCAACCAGTCTCTAAGGTTTACATCCTAGAAGCCAAATTCCAAGTGTATCTCTAAGCTAAAGCACAGTAGACATTCACCAAAAGCCATTTGCAGTGTGGAAGAGAAAGATGTAAAAGATGGAAGATGTAAAAGGAGCAGATAAGCTCTCAAAGAATCAAGACTACGTTTCCCCTATGAAAAGTTCTACTTTTAAAAAGGAGGGAGAAAAGGAGGGTAAGGAGCTAGAAGCGCCAATATTGGAGACCACAACAGATTTGCAGAATAACATACATGCTCAACAAAGAGGAAACTGTGCTTTCACCATTGTTAACTCAGACTTTCTCCCAACCCATCCCTCTGGAGGAAGCAGAAGACACAAACTAAGTTTTAAATAGATCTATCAGCACTTGCTAGATTCAGTTGTTCCACCAGAAGTAAACTAGGGATAAGAAGGCAAAGTCCCAAGAAAAAAATATCAGTTGCAGTGCTCGGTCTGAAGGTACAACTTAAACTCGTTATCCCGAGTCTCAGCCGGGACATTGCTGGCACACGGTAACTGGGACCCGCAGGGGGTTTGCCGCTCCGGGGTCACTTCGCTGCCCTTTTGTCCTCTGTAAATGGACCCGCCCGAGGACTCCTGCCTCCCTTTCCCTCTGGGTCACGTCACCCACCGCCACCTCTCTCCCTCTCACCCGCCTGGGCATTTAAGCGCTCCCACGTACCGACCCGCCGCCGACTCCCCACCACGGCACTGCGCGGTCCCGTGCCCGGGGTGCTCCCGGACACCCCCAGACCTCGCCCCCCATCTGCCCCTCGGGCAGATGTCTCCGTGGTATCAGGTGCCCGCCACCACCCCGCTGGGTCCGGGCTCCCACCCAGCCCCATGACCCCTCTGTCCGGCCACCCTCTGCGGAGCCCTGCTGGGGCAAGTGTCCCGGAGCCAAGACAGGGAAGGGGGAAGTGCTTCCCACCCTGCCCCTGGGGGAGCGAGCGCTGTCAGACTCGAGGAGACTTGCTAGGGGGTACCATCCCTCGGGCACACTCCCTCTGGGAGCCCCCGCCGCCACCGCCGCCGCCGCCTCGGACTTACTTCGGGCGTCAAAAAGCTCTTCTTGCGCAGCTGAAAGGGGCGAGCAGCGACCGTCCCCGGTGACCAGCGGCTGGTGCGGCCGCCGCGCGTCCCTTCGCTTCCCCACGGACGGGCTCGCCGGCCGCCGTCTCACGCCCCGCTCCGCCCGCGCCCCGTCTCTCTCTCCCGCAGGAGGTTTCTCGCCGAGATTTTTATACTGGAGGCAGGGAACCTGATCCGCGCTTTGACTCGGCGGAGCCCGGGCTGCTGCGAGGCGACGAGAGGAGGGAGGCAGGCGGGCGCCGGGGCAGAGCGAGCAGCCGCGCTGCCCCCTCGTGTGATGCGGAGGGGGCGCGCCCGCCGGGCGGGTCACCCGCGGGGCAGCCTCGCCCCCGCTGCCGGGGCTGGGCGGGTGCGGGGGTGGGCAGGGGGCGGGACGGGGCCACTGCGCTCCGCCGGGGCTCGGCGGCAGCTCCCCCTGCTCCCCCCGCCGGGGGAGCGCACCGGGGGACAGCCCGGCGGGGCGGCGCGGACCCCGCGGCACCGGGGCTGGCCCGGGTGCCCCTACTGGGTTTGTTAGTGCAGGCAGCTTCCCCACCTCTTCCTCACGATACCCAGCGAGAGGGGGAGCCGAGGGTCGGGGGGTGCACTTCATGGTACCCACCCCCCGGCCTGTGCGGGGGCTCGTCGGGGCTTCAGCTGCCTTTGCAGGTACAAACATCCACAGCAGCTTTTGCCCGGATCGTCTTTGGCTGTCAGAGTTTGGGGAGCTTAAACTTTAGCCTCGCTGTCTTAGAGCTTGCCATTTTGACCGGGGCCGTGTTGGATTGGAAATACTGTTGAGGAGTGAGAAACAAACAAGAAAAAAGCAACCAAACGAAATAAAAACAAACAAAAAAACCCACAAACAAAAACCCAAACAAAACCAAACTAAACAAAAAACACACAACAAAACAAACAAACAAAACAACAAAAAAAATTCACCAAACTGAGCCCTCTTCCCTAGGTTTTAATTTCAACGTGGCCTGAAAGCAGTATGAGAACAACTTTTGTCATGGCGTTTCAACACTTCTGGTTGTAGCAGTTGCTGGAGTTGCATCAAGGCTTTCATTTAGGAGCAGCCTTTTCCAACTTTTAGGTTCATTATATCCATTGAATAAGAGTGTTCCCCAATCCACAGCTTAATTTAAAACTAAGTGGACTTGTTCCAAACTCCAGGCAATTTCTGTGTAATTCCCTTTCCCCAGAGCAAGTCCCTGCCTTCACTTGAAAGACTGGGTCCATTCACTGCTTAGGTCTCAGCTGGGTTTGCAGCTTGCAGCTCCTGCTCCAGGTTTGCACAGAAATCCAGTTCAGATTCTTCTCCTGTTTCCAGAGGAATGAGCTAAAAAAGTAATTTGTCTGGCACCATACACATTGCATCATCTAACACCTACCATCTGTGACAATGAAAAGCATTGTACAGCTAGTCCCAGAGCAGGCAATTGCACTCACCTGGAGTCCTTCTTAGTAAAGTAAACTACCCCCTTCCATCCACACCTTGGCATCTTCTTTTCATCACAGAGTTATGTGTTCAGTCCTGGCATGGCGGCTGTTCAGGATTTGCACCACCAGCAGTTTTAATGACAGTGATGTAATTTAAAAAAACAATTTTGACTTGCAGTGTAAAGTGATGTCTTGAGATGGAGAGAATATACTTTCTAGCAGCTGGATGAGTGGAAATGAGCACTCAATAGTATTCATATTTCAGAGCATGCAAGGCTGAATGAATGCCAGTTTGCACCTTTCTGAGGGCTTCTCAGTGAAATCCTGACATCATGGTGTTAAGCACGACAAACATTTAGAGAAAGAAACTTTCCATCAAAAAACACCTGGTAGTGGTTGACACATTTCAAACCCCAGAAATTCTCCATACAACCACAATAGCACATTTCAGGTGATCAATCCTGTCTGAGTAACAAAACAGAAAAGAGGACAATGGCTATAAGTTCACCTTGATTGAAACCAAAAAAGATTTCATCGAAGTGGGTCAAGAGATTTCTTACTTTCCTTACAGAAATCTGAGTCTTAGCCAAAACACTGAAAAATTAACATTTTCATAAAACAGTGGAAGCTTTCTGCAGAAAGCAACTGCTTTTCACAAAGATGTGCATGATGTTAAAATCCTCATTTTGGCCACTTAATTTTAGAAGCAATGCCAACAGATAATCTTTGACCAAATTTGGTCACAGATTTTCTACAATTTTTTATAGCTCAGAAATTATTCTCTTGAAACTGAGTTGACATGCACAGAAACTAGTTTTGAGTGATATGGCTTGGATTTTGACTCAGAATCTCCAAAATAAAACTGCAGAAAAGGTTAGCAGAGCTTCTCAAAGGGTGTATTATGGTCTGGACTATTACTGAAAAAGAGAGTACTTAGGTTTTTGATTGACAAAAAGTAAATATGTTTTAATGTTCATATTATTTGTCTCAATGGCACCTTAAGGCTCAACTGAGGTTTCCTTTGCAATAAGCAGTGTAAAACACAGGAAAATATTCTTTGCCTCAAATTGCCCACTGTGTTAGATACCTTTGATATTAATGGAGTATAACACTTCAATTTCCTGACTGAAGTTTTGCTATTGAGATACTCGTAAAGACACAGAAGTTGAGATAGTTGGTGAATACAGCAATCTTGAAAGGACCAATGTAACTTCTTTTGTCAATAAAAAGTCATCAACCAGATGTTAGTCACAGCCTTAAAGGTGTCTATGGTGCTGGTTCCTAGTGGGAAAGAGCAGGACAGTGGAGAAAAGGGATGGATGAAAGATAAGTATGACCATTTACTTCCACAGGGATATTTTCATTATTAAAAGAATGGTAAAGCTGGAGAATTTTATCTCCAGATCTTCTCTGCTGTTTTGTCTCTCTTGACTTTTTTTTTTTTCCCCCAGACAATTATATATTTGCTACATGATCTCTGGAACTACAGACTAGTCAACATATACAGTGACATGTAAAGAAACCCCTACTGAAAAAATACTTTTTGACTACTACTTTTCTGCTCTGAACACAAAGGTAACCTAGAAAGGAGAATTTGCTGCAGATTGTCAGGGATATTTACCTTTAAAATCCTGAACATTTGTTTGTAGCTGCTGGTTTCACCCTGATCAAAAAACAGAGGTGAGTAATGGACTGGAAGCTGTAGAAGTCCAGTTTCTGTCTTCACGTACCTTCTTTGCCACCCAAAGTAAAAATTGGAAACCTAAATGAGAAAGACAGGGTTGAGCTATCTCTTAAAAAAGAAAGTGAAGGTTAGGGCCATAAGAAGCTATAAAAGGATTTTTGATTGGTGCCATGTGCAAATGCTCTCACAAACAATCCAAAAGTATTAGATCCTAATTAGAATCCCCATTCAAACAGTAAAAGTTTAAGACCATTTTGGGGAAAGGAGCTCTCACCTTTAGAAACAATTTTTGCCAAAATGCAGAAAACGCCCATAATAAATTCCCTTTCAATTAGGTGGGTTTTTTTCCTTAGAAAAAATGTAAACACCAAATTCTCTCTTTAAAGCCAGGCTCTTTGTTACTGTTAGGTAATCACGTCACCTTCCAATCCACCTGAAGGAGATTACTTGGAGCTTCTAAAACGAGTATTTCCAAAGATGCCCTCAAAAAATTCTGACTCTAGAGCTCAGAAAGTCGGAGGACAAGGCTTTATGAAACTTTCTTGTAAGAAGATCTACACTGGTTTTTGTCCCACTGCTGAGGCTGTACTTTTCAAAAAGTAAACACCACCCCTTGCACACCAGTTAGATCGGCTGGAGCTGAGCTTTCCTTGTTTGTTTGTTACACTGTAAATATCAATTTCTTTCACTGCTTTTCCTCACCATCAGCAACAGCAGCTCCAGGAAAACGTAACATGATTCCAGGAAAGCAAAGAAGAGAACTCTACAATAGTTTAAAGGTGTTTTCACCTTTTGCTCCATTGTTGTTCCTGAGCTATTGAGCTGCCAAACCCTGGCAACTGAGTGCCCTGCATCCCCACTCCCGTGCTAAGATCAGATTTCCATTAGTGATACTGAATTATTTAGTGAATGCATTGAAGATTGAAATCAACTACTTCTGAGCTGTGTACCTTCTCACTCTATCTTTCATTTCAAGCCCGCACAATACTGTCACAGAGACTATCAATCTTATAATTAGAGTAGAAAAATCCATGGAGTTCAAAAACAATAATTTATACCTCACTCTTTAGTATCAAAGCAATCCAGCATATTAAAAAAACAAACAAACCACATTTTCTAGATGCACGTGGAAGACAGCAAACAGAGAGCATGAACCCAGAAGAGTTATTCAATCAAGCACATATGCTAAAAACTTAAGATATTTGAAAACAAAGTCAGTGTCCCAGAACTCAATCTTAAGCTTCAGTCACCAAACCATGAATACATATTGTAACTTCACACATTTGACTGACTCTATTTTCTACAAGGGGATTAGAGCTCTTCTGCCGAAAATTATTCATGTGCATACATCTGCATGTTGCAGTTGGAAATCCACAAATATAATGTGACACAGCAGACTTTTCCAGACCCCAGCATTTAAAAGACAGTTCGTCATATGTTGGCTTCTCTCACTATTTTCTTCTTTTGTGCTGGCAATTTTTAGAATGGAAGTCCTACATATCCAGGATTCAAAGTCTATTACATTAAAATAAAAGAGCTATGATAAAAAATTTGCTGCTTTGAGTACATTATCACTTTTTTTCCTGTTTAAACACATTCATTTCTCTCTAGACTTACAGTTTAGGGAGAGATATAAATAAAAACAAAATGGCATTTTATTATGAAGGGCTGAGCAATAGCTACCATTTCTGTTCTGTTTTCTGGGGTTTTGTCACTATTCATTTCTGTGGGAAAATCAAAGCAAAATGCAGAAACAAAATGTTCTTCCATTGAAAAATAATCAATAAAATTGACTTTTGTTGTTGTTGTTGTTGTTTCAAACTTATGGCAGAAAACTACTGAAAAAAAGGAATGTAAATTTCCTTTTCAGTTTTTCTCAGGAAGAACATGATTTGCTAATACCTCTTTTTTGAAAGGCACTATACCTGCATGCCTAACTACTCTATAAAAGGACTGGCTTTAGAAGTAGAGAAGATAGTACTTATAATCCCACCAAATCAGTCCTTGATACTTCATTAAAACAATCAGCTAGTATCAGATATAGCACTAAATACCTTTCCCCTAGGCACTGAACTGAAATGGTCAATTTTACTCCCAGTGGCAAGCCAGCGATAACAAATTAGAGGCACTAACTATATAGTGGGCAAGTGAT